AGGTCATAAGAAAAACAATGAAACCAACATTATGGAGAAGCACATTAAGCTGCCACCTGCAATGCAGGCATCCCATAAGGGCAGTAGTTCAAGTTCTGGCTGTTCCAGCTCCACTTCAACTCCTTGCTGATGTGCAGTTAAGCCTGTGGGCCCATGTGAGCAACCCAGATAAAGCTGCTGGCTCCTGCCTTTGGCCTGACTCGGCCTGGGTTATTGTTGCCATTTGGAGAATGAACCAGCAGATGGAAAGTCTTATTTCATACTTCTGCATGCAAAGATCTAATTTTCCCCCAACACCATTTACTGAACAGAATGTCCTTTCTCCAGGGAACTTCTTCCTAGTGCACTCCCTGGAGGCTGCGGGAATGGCACAGAGTTGGTTCACTGCCAGCCAAGTGGGCGAGAGGCACTTTGAATTCCCAGTCCCTGGCCCTATCTTGGGGCCTCTGTAAACACTCGGTGCATTAAGCAGTAGATGGCCAATCTGTCTCTCTCAGCTTTACAAAAAGAAAGTTCTTAAACATCAGATAATTAAACACATGATTTTAGCACTTACTGAATCGCTCACTAGCATACAGCCATCAGCGTGTTATAAATATTATAGGATCTTTTTCTTTCACTAAAAGGTTAAAAATGTTGCATGATCATCACATTCACTGTTCTACTCAAGTAGGATCACATCTTGTTCTGATCACTCAAACAGCCCTTGGCTTTCTGTTTGGATTTTACCATGCTTCTGCAACTTTAATAGTCTATCAAACTTCCCTTTTCATTTTGGCTGCTAGAAAATTTCCCTTTTTATTTTGGGTACTAGAAAATATATATACTTGATGGCACATTAAAGTGTTGGGTTTTTTTTTTTTCATAATTATACTTCAAGCTCCTAACTTTAGTCTCATTTTTCCAACTCATTTTAGCTATACTGCTTTTGTATTTATTTGCGCCCCTCAATACTTTACAGAACTGCTAAAATAAGACTAACAGTCTCCATAAAGACAAGGAAATAGAAAGGTCTTGAAATATTATTACACTGTAATCCAGAAAAATGCATAAACAACAACAACAAAAAGAAAAATAAGAAAGAAAAACATACAAGCACTGGAGTACTCACTGGGGTACACAGTGCTAACCCTCTGCCAGGAGCACCAGCATCCTATGCAGGTGCCGGTTCACATCCCAGTTGCTCCACTTCCAATCCAGTTCTCTATTTACAGCCTAGAAAAACAGCGGAGAATGTCCCAAGTCCTTTGGCTCCTGTACCTATGTGGGAGACCCAGAAGAAGCTCCTGACTCCTGACTTCAGATCAGCTCAGCTCTGGCCATTGCAGCCATTTGGAGAGTGAACCAGTGGACAGAAGGTCTTCTCTGTTCCTTCTTTTCTCTGTAAAATTAGCCTTTCAAATAAAAATAAATAATTTTTTTAAAGTATAAACATTACATGTTGATAATAAAAATAATAAAACTACTAAAATAAGTATTCAAGTATTTCCTGACTAGCTGTCTTTACAATGTTAAGACAACTGAAAGATCTTCCTTATTAATATCAACAGGTACTAGTTACTGAACAGTGACTTGTAGCGTTGCTGTTCTAAATGCCTTGCAATTATTTGCTTTCGTCACAACTCATGACGGAAGTGTAATTACTATCCCCATTTTATACATGAGGAAACTGGGGACTAAGGAACTTAAGGAATTTCCCAAAGTCACATGGTTATAAAGCTCTGCATGATCGGGCTCCCTACCTCCTTAACCAATGCCCTACAGTGATGAATTTTCACAAAATGACTTCAAAAACAAGGTATGCTTTAAATTTCCACCAAAAAAAATTAAGAATTGAAAACAATTTTGACAACAAAGTCCACATAAAGTAATTACTGTTGTTATAACAAAGATGAAGAGACTGAAACACAGTTTAAACACTCCAACTCAAGTCACTACTAAGTAAATTCCTAGAATCAGTTTGGCTCCAGAGTCAAAGTTCTTAACTACCGCCTTATCGATTTCTCCAGATGACAAAGATTAGCTTCTGTCACTTCCTGACACTCCGAGAAGCAGAGCTGGTAACAAAAGTGACCCTACATTCCACATGTCAACATTGAATAATTCCAATGCAACAAAGCTGTCAGCCCAGCACCCACAACTTTGTAAAACTGTCACAAGTGATTCCTGAACTTTGGCTAATCATCCACTCCCCCAAGACTTCTAACCCAGATAGTCTCCACTGTTCCTGGAAGGGAGGGAATTAAACATAAACTCTCATTTCCTCCCCGGCTGCTTTCCCAAACAAACAACACAGGCAAGCAGGCAGGGCAGCATGAATGACAGCATGTCTTTTTAGGACGTGCTAGCCAGCTTTAGTTTTTATTGGTGAAAGTACTAAAGGGTGAATTTTTGAGATTTACTCAAGAGTCAGGGAGAAAGAGAGGCGGGAGGGGTAAGAGAAAGAAGACAGAGATCATTCAGCAGCTGGTTCACCCTCCAGTCACAAAAGCCGAGAACTCCATTCAGATCTCTCCGTGGGTGACAGGGACCACCTTCTGCTGCTTTCCAGGGCATGCACCAAGGAGCTGGATCAGCCAAGGCTAGAACCAGCATGCACATATAAGGTGTCAGAATTGAAAACAGTGCCACAAGCCAGCTTTTTTATTTTTTAAATAAGAGACAATCAAACCGTGCATTAAAAAAAAAAATAAAAGTGGCAGTACAGAAGACATATTGTGGGCACTGATAGGAAAAAAAAGAAGAAGAAAAATGAGCCAACAATGTTAAGACTAGAGGCTGAGCAAAGGCTTGAACTACATTTTGACAGTAAAGAATACACAGCAAATTAAAGAGATCTGTTTAAGAAAAAGCTGGCAGAACCTGGCTGTTGAACAGATACTGCCAAAGAAATGGCTGCCTCCCAATGTGCCAGCAGATGAAGGGTGATGCTTTCAACCCACACCTGGATTCACTGTAAGATGACGGTGTGGGTCCTACTCAGCAGGGCAGCAGCACTTGGGAAAGGGGTTCAATTTTAGCATGAGAAATTAATTTCAGTGGAGTTTCAGGGAGAGGTCTGAGTTTACAATGAATAAGAATATTGAAGTGCCAGTTATATAACCAATTTTAAGAAATCAGATTATGAAGGATAGTGATTGTAAAAAAAAGATTTTTTAAAAGTCTTATATTGCTAACTCTACTTCATCATCTCCAAACAAGAAAAAAGGTAGGGAAGATTTAAATGGGAAGCATCCCTCTTGGAAAGTGGTAGACTGGATCAGCACACATGGAAAGTCAAACAGGATAATCACCAAGTATATGGCAAATCAAGCAGAATATCAAAATCTACCCGATACACCAAAGACCAAAATCTAGGCACTGGCGTGAGAGCGCAACTGGCTAATCCTCCACCTCCTAGCGCCAGGATCCCATATGAGTGCCAGCTCATGTTCCCACTGCTCCACTTCCCATCCAGCTCCCTGCTTGTGACCTGGGGAAAGCCTTGGGATCCTGCATCCACTTGGAAGACCTGAAGAAGCTCCTGGCTCCTGGCCTTGGATCAGCTCAGCAACAGCCGTTGCAGCTACTTGGAGAGTGAACCAGAGGAGAGAAGACTTCTGTCTGTCCTCTTAGTAAAGCTGCCTTTCAAATGAATGAATGGATGGATGGATAGACAGACAGACAGACTAGAGTGCCTGGCAATTCAGACACCTGCCTCTCACATCTCAGTCCCTGGGTTCAATTCCCAGCGTCGGCTCCTGATTCCAGTTTCCCACTAGAACACCTTAGGAACAGCAGGGTAGGCCCACTTGATTCAGTTCGTGCCACCCACGCTGGGAGGGCCACACTGGCTGCCCACTTCCCAGCTCAGGCCATGACGGATATTCAAGGAGTGAAGGGGGGTCCGTCTCTGTTTCAGAAACGAAGATGCAGAGAACCGCCTAACAAAGACTGATGTCCAACTTAACAATTTCAAGGTACCGGTACATAGAAGTACGCAAAAAGTTTTACGCTTCGTTAATTTCAAACACTCCTAATAAGTCCAATAAACATGATGATTGAAAACATCTCCATAAAAACAGATAAGTCATAACTGCCCCGTTTCCCAAGTCACATTTCAGATCAACAGCAGAAAAGCAAAAGTCAAGATCCTTTTTATTTTTCTGCCACCTGCTCTAGGATGCCATACCTCAAACCACAAACACCGTCAAATAATCCAAAAAAGGGGTGGGAGACATCGGAGAACGTGAGGCAACTCCAGGGACAGAGGAAGCTGCCCGCCACAAGTAAACAGTCCCTGGTATTGGATGAGTCACTACCAGTCAGCTCCAGCTGTTTATGCCACCTGTCATAAACCTGAGTGCCCTCAGTATGTGTAAGACGTGTTTTCGGAATGTGAGCAGGCGCGCCAGGACCACATCCCCTCCGCCCCTGGTCCTAAGGAACTGGGTGACGCTGACCATGTCCGCCCGATGGACCACCCCACGGAAACAGCCCACACACGTCCAGACGACACACTCCAAACCCACGCCTTCCCTGACAGGCGTAGAATGGCGGAAATCTCAGCCCCCCAACTGCTCACGGCCAAGCTGGTGGTCAGACGGACCCGAGCGCACAGCTGCCTAAGGCCCCTGGCTCCTTCCGAGGGAGGTCACGGCCACCTTCACCAGGGCAGAGCGCGGGGAGACGGGCCCGAGGCGGGTGGACACCGCCAAGGTATCCGAGAGCGGTCCTGGACGGGCGGTGCCACCACAAGCCGCCAGGCTGCGGGGCAGGGCACAGCAGAGAAGCGCCAAGGCCCGGGCGGCCTGGGAGCTCCAGCCGGGTCTCTGCCTCCCCGGCTGCACCGGCACTGTCGGGCAAACAGCCGCCACCGCCCAGCCCTGGGTTCTCCTCGGTCCGTCCCGGGCCGCCGCGAGGCACACAGGACGCCGCCGCCCTCGCCTGGCCCGCCTCCAGGCAGCCCAAGCACCAGCGCTCCGGGAAAGGCAGGGGTGCCGCCCGGGGCCGTTACATACCTTCCCGCTCACAACACCCGCCGCCGCCATGTTTCCTGCGCGTGCCTGGAGATGACGTAGCAGAGCCTCACGTGTCTCCCGGACTCACAACAACATCCGGTAAAACCAAAATGACATCCGGGCGGGACGGGGCGGGAGGAGCCACCTGACGCGACGAGGGAGGAGTCTGGCACAGGATTGGCCGTGTGGCCGTGACTCTTTTTCTCAGAAAAAAACTTGACAGAAGGTGCGTTTGCCAAGGGTCGACGTCAGTTTGGTGACATGGAATGAAGCACCACGCTGGGAACCAGCCAACGGGGTTTGTGTCCGTAAGCAAGTCAGCAGCATGCTTTGAACCCGTTTGTTCGTGATAAAATCGAGACCTTAACGTTGTGGTAAGAAATGAAACCAGCTCAGCTCTCGGTCACAGACTTTTCCTATCTACAGATAAGTTTCTGAATGTGAGTTTGGCCACTGCCACACACACGACCTTCAGCCAGGTAGTTTGATAAGATCCGTAATAATAGCACGCCCTCATTGCTCCGGAGTCCAAGACGGAGTCCACAGTCATTTGATTGTGTGACTTCAAACAAATTTCTAAGTTCATGCCAACTTCCGATGTAAAAAATAACATCGGTTATGGATAACATGGCGGTTATGGATAACTCCAGGCAGTACGTGTGTGTGTGGTAAGATGGTTTGTGGAGATACTTAGTTCCCAGTGCTATGAAAGAATGCAAAGAAGGACTTAGTAGTGTCACTGGTGGCTCTGACATCAGGCCTGAGACTTCTCTGGTCCCAAGGCTAAATAAAATCTTGCACCAAAAGTACCTGTGCCTGTTAGGGTAATTCTGCTTTCACGCACTAGAGAAAGGTTGCAAGCTTTTAAAAGTGACTGAGGGAAGCTGCCATCAAAGGGAACAGCAGAAAGAGAAGGGCTCCAGGATGCGAATAGGAGGAGCCTACCAGGTAGGGGAGATCATAGGACCTACCAGTAGCTGTGTAGAACCACTGGAGAGGAAGCGTGCCTGGCAACTGAGACTCCAACCACAGCCAACCACACCCATGACCGAGGTTGGCATTCCATCAGGGAGGTGGAGAAATGACCCATTAACAGTAACCACCGCTGAGTGAAAACCAGAAAGTTCTGCTCACATCTTAGTGAATTATGATTTCCTTAGAACCTTCTTGTAATTTCTTTTGTTGGTGGAGAATCCTAAAAAGGGTCCAAATTGGAATAGGCACAATCGTTCAGTTGCTAAATCCTCAAGCTTGCAAGTGCTGGGATCCTATATAGGTATAGGTTTTTGTCCCAGCTGCTTCACTTCCCATCCAGCTCCCTGCCTGTGGCCTGGGAAAAGAGTAGAGGATGGCCCAAAGCCTTGGGACCCTGCAACCCTGGTGGGAGACATAGAAAAAGCTCCTGGCTTTGTTGTGCCCACATATTGTGATCCCCAGAAATCATCAGGAGTCTGAAGTCGATCCACGTGCACAAGGATGGTTTATTGAAGCTCAGCACATCCGACCCTGGGTTCTTGGTTGAGAGCAGGCAGCTGGCTGACCGACACCCCTTACCAGGAGTGTGGCCCCAAACAGCTCATTCATAGAGTTTTTATAGGGGCAGTCCACAATAGCTTGAAAAGGGGAAATTCACAATAGTCTGCAATGTGAGGAGTGGGTACAGGGTCCCAAAGTCTTGGGCCATCCTCAAATGCTTTTCCAGGCCACCGGCAGAGAGCTGGACGGGAAGTGGAGCTGTTGGGATTAGAACCAGCACACATATATCGGATCCCGGGCACATACAAGGTGAGGACCATAACACTACAGTATTGCGCCGGGCCCCATCACCTATTATAATATGTGTAATTATAATATGCCCACCTCTCTGCAATATAGCCTTTCCAATTTAAAAAAAGAAGAAGAAAACTGCTCTCTTTCCTTCATGTAACACACAACTGTGCCATTCCTAGACAAGGGGATTAATTCATATACACTGGTATTTTTAATTAACCACAGAATTAATTTATATAAACACAAAGTGCCTACTATGTGTTCTGCATGGTAGTCACAGAAAGAAGAAAACTCAATTTCTGCTTTGCAATAGTTGATGACCTAGTTGAGAAAGTAGCTCATTATCAAGCATTTTAGAGTGTGATACTGTGGAAGCACAAGAACAGATACAGTGTTAGATTCCTCTTTTGACTTGTCCAGCACCATTCTCTCTTTTTTTTTTTTTCAATTTTTATTTGATGTAATTTTTTGTTTTTTCACTTTTTCTATTGAGGAGGAGAGACAGAGAGGAAGATCTTCTGTCTGCTGATTCGCTCTCTAAGCAGCCTCAGTGGTCGGAGCTGCACCAAGCCAAAACCAGGAGTCAGGAGTTTCTTCCAGGTCTCCCACGTGGTGTAGGGGCCCAAGGCCTTGGTCCATCCTTGACTGGTCTCGCAGGACACAAGCAGGGAGGTGGATGGGAAGTGTCGCAGCTGAACACAAACTGCTGCCCGTATGGAATCCCAGCACATACAAGATAAGGATTTATCATGCCAGGCCCAAAAGCAGTTTTCTTCCTCACAAATATTGTCTATCAGCAAAGGAAAGAAACATGATTGGGATTCCAAAGTAGCTAATTTCAGATTTTAGTTTTTACTATAGTAGAAGAAAAAGTCTTAGTGATCATACGTATAGCAAGAGAGCAGGTGTTGTTATATAATGCTTAGTGTGAGTAGTTATCAAGTTCTCTATAACTTGCAGTAATTACTGTTTTCCTGAGCATGAGTTATATCAAAGCATCTAGGTCCACTCCTGTCAACTATATAGTTATTTGTTCATTATCATTATCACTGAAAATGACATATGATGAGAAAGAATCTGAATAGTAAGAAACTCAGACTTGGAAATCACCTTAGAGATAATTTCCAGAGTTTTCTGACTGAAGAGATTGTACCTCGTGGAGATTAATGACTTGCCAAAGCCACAAGCTGCATCCTGGTTTAAGTGGAAATTTCATTTCAGGCACTTATCGTAATCACCTATGCTGGATTATCAGCTGGAAGTGATCACTTCGCTCTGAACTACAACATTTAATTATCAGTTAATTTCATTCTCACCTCAGTGTCTGACGGGCCTATTTGTCTTTCAGCATTTGTATCATGACTCACTTCATCTGTTCAGATTCCACTAACCTTTTCAGCAATTGATCTCTACCTTTCCCAAGCTCTTGCAACTGTCAAATGACAAACTTTGTTTTGGTGCTTAGCCATTTCTTATCTGGATCAATTGGTTGCTTTTTGAACATTCTAATTCTTATCTATGGGAATGGATCTATCCGTCATGATTTGCTTCCTTGTAACTGGGAAAATCACAGATTTGAAAGTGTCATTGACCCTTTAATATCATTCACCACTTCTCCACCAACACTGGTTAGATACAGACCAGGCTCATTCCTCCACCTAACTCTTCAGCCTTTCTCTGGAGTGCTTTATATTCCAACGACCACATTGTTCACGTCTCGTTGCGCTGTACTTTTCCACCTTTGCTTATAAGATTCCTTCAGTCTGACACGCCCCGCTTCCTGTTCTCTAACCTACCCTTTTTGGTTTTCTCATCTTTTAAGAATCATTCTGTTTTTGAATCTTTCTCCAGCTTCTGGTGAAATAGTCTCAGACACAGCCAAGTGTGTCTTCTCAAAGCTACGATCATGCCCTGTGCCTACTTTTTGAATGGTTGTCGGGTGTGCAGCAATGACATTTACTGCTCTCAGGAATGGATACATTTTACACTGCAAATGTTTGAGTTCCTCAGTATTCCAAACAACTCTGACATAAAACCACTCTTCCTTAAAAATAAACATAAAGGTCTCAAATTTTAAAAAGTAACCATAAATTAAATCCTCATCCTTAATTGTGGCCTGGTATCTTGCATTAATTTGAGAACCTGTACGTGTGTTTGTCATGCAGGCAACGATCTCCCTAGGGGTTGGAGATCTCTTGTCCTAATGACAATCACGCTATGCATATCCAGTAGCTATTTGAAAATGGATGGAAACCTGAAACAGGACGTACAAACTGCAGCTGTGTCTTCCAGGGGGAAAATCCCCACACCACCTCCTATTTTACCAAAAGAAGGAAATTCCATTCTACACAACTCTTTATAACAAAGGCGAGAGTCACTGATTTGTATGCGTTAGCAAAGGAAGCAATAAAGTGCTATTGAAAAATAAAAAGTTCAAACCCGAGGCATAGTTGTCTGCAGGTTTGGTTTTTATAAATGAAAATTGTGTCTCAAAGATATCCTGTACATACAATTTTTTTTTCTGCTGCTGTGAAATACCTATTAGGTAAATAGTAAAAAATAGCTTCTCCAAATGCTGATTGCTCATGAGATGTTTCCATTTTTCTCAGACTCATAACATCACCGACTGTTGAGAAATGCAGTTATTGCTCAAGCCTGAGGGGGTGTGCTTGTTTCCTTCTATCGAGTACATACTTCCCAATATCAGTTTTCTCCTCTTCAGCTTAATTGCATCACCCACTTGTATTCCCCCCTTAATGTGTCATGAAGCTTTTTATTAAATGCTCTTATTTTATGTTTTACGGGATGAAGAAACCAAAAGGAAATTTATAAACTGTTTGGGGGGAAAAGATAAATCAGTGTAACAATTTAAATTTAAAATTTTTCATTTTTTATGATGCAGTTCCATAGGCACAGAGATTCTCCCTTCCATGCCCCTTCCCCACGTGTTTCCTCAATATTATTACAGCAGTATAGTCCTTCAGCAACAGTCACAAGTCCAACACTCTGCTAACCAGGTGTATCCTGGCGTTGTAAGTATAGAGAATGGTAGAAAGTCTAGTATCCTGTTGTCAAGAGACTACATTGGGAGTCCCTCATTTAGTCGGAAGTAGAGATGCACACAGCACCATATCTTCACTCCCCAGTATATTGGTCTCCATTATCTGTGAGGATAAGTGTGTATGCATGTTTACCTAGATATCCACTGAGCTTGTGTTTTGCATAAAGGTTGCCTTGTATCAGTGAGAATGTATATTTGTCTTTCGTGGATTTGGTTGTTCCTCTTAATTTATTTATTTTAAGATTTGCT